TGTATGAACATTTTGCAAGAAAAGTATGCAGGAAAATGGTAAACGAGTATGTATTTCAAGGATTTTTACTAACAGCTTGTCCTATTTTTCCGTAACATTTATCATTATGACAATAATAAATTTACAATTATTATGATAATAATAAATTCGATAAATCTAGTTATTTTTTGTAAGTACTAAGGTAATTTTAAAACTTTTCTACAATGAAAAGGACACAAATAAATTCAAGAAAAAATAATTGTAAAAACTTTTTATTCCTTGCAATAATAATACACTATATGTTAAATGCATAATAAAAACATTTATAACATTTTATATTGCAATTATACTTAATGCTTATTAATTGTTATTTAAACGTGTCCTTTTTCATTAAATTAATATTTTTCAATATATCATCTTCTAACAATGTATTAAAAATATCTGAACAAGAAATATCCTCCATGTTGAATTTTACGGCCAGCGCTGCAGCTAGAGTATCAATATTCAGTCTCGATCTCTCACTTACCCAAAAATCATTAACAATTGAAAAAATTCTTTCAACTACTGCATTCGTGCCAGGACTGTAAATTGAACACGAATAAATAAATTGTTGAATGGTCATGTCAAATACAAATGCATCAGATCACTCGAGATGTATTGGTTCGTCATCGAATATGGAAATTTAAAGATTAATCTTCAAAAATATCGAAAAAGAAGACGTGTCGGAGGACACTTTTTGAGAGAGGAACTTACAAAAAGACTATCCTCCCTAAAGCGAGATCATTGGTCATTTTATAAATACTGCTTTTTTTGTAACAGATACAACATAATGCACAAAAAATAATTCGATATACCATATTCTATATACGTACATAATGTATGTGTAAAAGAGCTGTAATGCTTCTAAGGTACTGCACAGTAGTGCCGTCTAATGCACGAAGGACCACTCAATAGCTGAATTGGGAAAAAATGAAATCCAAGCTTATTCTTGGAATACTATTGTTTGTCTTAGTGTATGGTATCGTGTATGGATGTGCAGTTGTGTGTGCGTGGAGTTTTTACTACAATCTATCTGTATTGTCTGAACTAACTAATCTGGTTGACTATTTTTACTGAATTGCCGAACTGAAAAATATTCTTTTCCTTCTGACCTTCCCTTCCAGTGCGCCCTTAGCGTGCTTCCCCTATGGAAGGGGAAGACGAAAGCCAGGGTGGGTGAAAGTAGGACCCAAAGCGAAACTAAGAGTCCCAAGAGAAACTGTTTTTCGTCACGGAAACCCTTAGTCCCCGCTATAAATTATACCGTACTTTAACAGTATGAAAATAGTTCAAAAATTTGATTTCAAATTATACCTAAAAATACGAAAACTTGGAATTCTGTCCACAATACAATAATTTGAAACACTTATTTAAGAATTTAGAAAATTAAACATGAAAAATAAATAAGAAATATTCTGCAAAAAGTAAATAATTTCCAAGTAAATACAACCAATTGTTTATTGAAAAATCTGAATGATTGTGTCTACGACGTGATAAATTTTTAACATGTTATGTAATATGTCAATTTACAAACGAAAGCGATGGATGAAGCTTCCGAGAAAACAAGACATCCCTACAAGATTTTCTTCTTACATAAACCAAACAATCGCCACGATTTTTATTCCAGCCACGGCACTAAGTGACAGTAATTGAGTTACGTTGAATGAATAGCTCGAAGTAACGTGATTAATCTATGAAGGCTCTGGAAATGACAAATTTCTTTTTAAGATGTTCCGTATTGATCAACATCGTTTCATATTTCATACCTCGCTTCGCAGAAGATCATCTTAATTCATGTTGTGACTTCCGCGCAATAAGTGATGGATTAAAATATGTATCATTTATTATTATTTGTTAATTTTATACTTGTCGAGTCATCACGCAAAAACTACTGAATATTTTTTCATGAAATTTTGCAGAGGTAAATCTGATACAGGAGATGGTTTTAAGACGGCTTTTGTGGTGATCAAAGTTGAAGTATCGGAAAAGTCATCTTAACTACACTTTCACGTGCATTTTGGCGGCAAAAATGCGAAGAAAACCAGTTATTCAACGAGCCAGACTTCAAGAATTAATTGACTGTAAAATTTTACCACTTCTAACATTCTAGTTTAAACCACAGTTTTATTAATATTCCAATAATTACAAAAAGTAAGTTTGATTATTGATATTATCTTTTCTCCAAAAATAAAATACGCGAATTTTATGAATATTTTATTCTGTTATTGAATCTTGCAAACGATATTTATTTTTTAATACTGGTTGACAAATGTGTAACGACTCTGGAACCTAGATTCAGATAGTTACTAGCGCTAGTAAGGTAAAGAGCGGCTTTTACCAACTGAACGACTCGTTTTGGAAAATAACTAAATATAAAGATTGTGGGATTCGTGTGGTGTGCGGTTAAGGAGTGAAATGCGCAGGTCAATATCTTTCAACAATAAGGTTTATTCAATAAAATAACGAAGATGATGAATTTAACAAATAACAAGTAACAAATAACAACAAAATATGAAAGCATAATATTAGTACGCTTGATATATATTGACTGATTTGTTTAATTAATGGTTTTTGATAATTAATAATATCGCAATTGTAAAATGTATTTCTATCCTTCTCTAAGACTACGCGAGAATTCCAGGAAATTCGGGGCGAGCTTCGCGGCACGTAAACACATAGCATTGCAGAATTTTCCATACGAAACTATACATTTATTACAATGGCTATAAAATAATACATTAATTTTGTTTTGAAATAAATTAACTTAGCTTTTGATTGATTCAATGAAAAATATTACTCCGTTTAAATTAGAAACATAAAATAATTATTAAAATTAAAAATATAAATACATTGGTAATTAAAATTAAATTAAATACATAAGTTTGATATATGTCGGTAATAGTTTAATACTGTCGGTAACTAAACTATTGGTAGGTAATTGTTCCGAATATGAAATTGCCATGTTGGAAAGAAAAACTCTTCTCCAGGGATGTTACAAATGTTTTAAAGTTTCATTTTATTACACTTAATTTTTATGCTTAAAGTGAAAAGTTTCATGGTTTAAGGGTTTTAAGCTCTTACCCTTAAACGACGAGTGTTCAAACATTTTTTTTTTAATTTCTATTGCATCAAGTTCAGATTGTAACGGAGAGGAAATCTTATGATAATTACGTAAAATTTCTTTTTACTTTTTAAAAAGAGATTAAGAATGCTTCTTGACCAGAGGGATTATTCATACAGACCACTTTAATTTGTTGCGCAGCACAAACGAACATATGTGATGTACTGTAATGATTTCCATTTTAGAATTAAGTACATAATGTTGTGCATATTTCGATTTGCAATAATGAATAAGTGGTTCTAAATTTTTATGGTCTGATTGCGAATCTTCTACCCTATCGCGTAGTGTAATAAAATTTTCTCACAAGTCTTGTTTTTATTCTATTTTCAAAATAGAGAAAAAAATATCAGAAAAGATGATGACACATGTCTCACATGATTTGAATATTATTTAAACATTATAATATTCATAAGATCAAATTTTATCTTTATTTTAGAACCCAATTTTTAGTTTGGTTAAAATAATAAATGATTACGATTATATTTTATGAACTTTATTAATTGAAACCTTTAACGTGACTAACAACGCTATTCAGTTTTAAGTGCGATGCACATACTCTATCGATCGAAAATATCAATCAACCACGCAGATATTTATTCAATTAATAGATGAAGTTCAGGGGTGAAGCTTTACTGTCCTCGGAAAACCCTTACTTAATTAAATAAATGTCTACGTCGTTAACCTTTTCTGTATAAATTGATAGCATTCAACTATCTATTATTCTCTGCCACTTGTTCAGTAATAGACTAAATATAATGATTTTGCATGTAAGCATTCATTTGTAGAAAAGTTGTATGTTGTTAAAATTTCGTAATTTTCAAATGCTATACATACAACTTACTTTAATGCGGTAACCAGGTAAATTTTATTATTTAGTTCTAACGGTTACAGTAATAAATTTACATTAAAAGGTTCGCGGCCCTCGAGGGGTCAGGCTTGATCGGACATTTTGCGTGGGCCCTTGCGTTACTCGCGAGGACGATCTTTTCCCCACATCTTGTTGTTATAGCCGACTAGAAAAAACTGAAAAAATAGCCAGACTTTTGCCTGGTGTCATATATAAAACACCGTGCATTTACCAGTTCTAAGGTCTGCGTAAAATGTAATTGTTATTCATTTCTATTATTTTGTTAATTTTATTTATTTATTTTATTTAATTTTATTTGTTTATAGGACACATTATTTTTGTCCGTTTTAGAACATATTATTGTTGTCTTTAATTTCAATAATTATTCAAATATTGACGGTGATTTACAAATCAATTTTGTCAGAGATATGCTTTTCTATGTTAACGTATGCGAGAGGAAGGGTATCTGTGGCGCCATTTAAGAATGTAAAAAAGCATTGGAAAAAATAAAAATGTGCTGGTTCGTTAAGGCGTCTGTATGAGAAGTAAAAGTTTAAAAGTATAAAGAAGGTGTAATTACACCTAACAACTACTAAAATATTATTAATTCAATTTAAATTACGACATATACTTGTCATTGAGCAAAGCAAACAACAATTTTCTTTAAATCTATAAAAATCAGTTATCTAATATTATGAGCCATAGAGGATAAAATATTGCAAACAACGTAATTAAGCACTTGTATTAGTAGTAATTCTAAGTTAAATTTCACTCTACATCGTTAATTAAATTTTATACGACAGCGTATAAAATTTACGACAATATACAACAACATATAATGTATACAGTACACATACGCTTGTTAGATACTTTACTAAGACCATGCACAAAATAACACAATAATCTTACCTACCAAAAATAATATCTTATGAATATTCATTCAGTTAACATTAAATGTAGAGACAAAATTTTAAAAGTTCGTGCAGTTTCATAAACTAAGAAAAAACAGCTTACCTAAGAGAAGCAAAATAGTGCCCGCTACGAGGAGAGCAAGTCTATGGTCGGTGGTTGTTGCACCCGGGGCAAGTTGGACTAAACCAACAACCAGTACCACTGCACCCAACAATAGACACACCACCACTGCGTGTAGCCCTGATATCTGTGAACAGCATAGCTCTCGTTAAATAATTTGAAACGCTAGAAGTCAGGTGAATCATCCCGAGGTGGTTCCATCTTGGAGAAACGTGTTACTTGCGTACATCGAAGCATATCGAGTATACAGCAATGAATGAAACTAAAATGATTATTTCTTTTTTTCTATTTTAACTTTGTGCATTTTGTTTGTTTCATTGCAATAATTATGTTAACTTTTTGCGTATATTCTGTATTGCACATATTTGTAGGTGAATGAATAACTGATTTTAAGCGCACAGCTTCAAATAATAAAACAATGATTCATTTATATTTCATGTAACATATATACAATATAGATGAAAGTAATAATATATCTCTAATGTTTAACGATGTTTATGATGTCAGATAATAATTTGACCATTTGACAATTATTTGATAGATAATAATTGAACAAGTTTATCTTTAAATGAAACAGATTCATGAAATTTGAGAATAATCCAGAAGATGATATTTTGAATATTTTGAATATTTCAGTCTTGCAAAATATTACATTTCTGAATTCTTATTAACAATACTAATAAAAAAAAATAATAATTAAAATGCATTTTTTATCCAAAAGAAAGAGTTTTGAGAAAAATGATATAAAACTGAGAATTTTTAACATTTACAAGGAAACAACAAAACATTGCAATTCATTTAATTTCACAGTAGATTCTTGCAAATCGAAAAATGTTAGAATAAATTGCTGAGTCAACTAATTTGCAAGAATGTTTTAATAAGTTGCACCAGTTTATTTGAAAAAATGTAGCGTTTCTATAAATAACAAAAAGACGATGTATATACATAGTGCATAGCTGTCTCATTAGTGAAGGCTAAAATTCTATTTTTTGCCAGTTACCCTAAATTTGGGGTAAAGTTGTCCGCTTGTAGCATTCTTCAAACGTTTCTGAAAATCTTTTATCGGTGTCAACAATTTTTATTAACGTGTTAAAAGCCATTGAAACATGTATAGTTATAACTGTTCCCTTAGCTTTCAAAAAGTCAAAGTACGGAAGGTGATTTCATTTCTTAAACTTGAGTTACTGTAACTAAAAAGAAGTATGTAATATTCAATATTCTTAGTAATTATATAAGTATAATATAAATAATACTTTTAATAACATTTTTGGTCGTTTCAATTCCACAGAGAATTAATCAAATTGAAGCTGAGTTGTTTGCGACTTTTTTTAATAGATACAAAAAATACACTGATGATCAGAAATAACAATATGACTTGTCCAAACCGTGTTCCGAAAACTGGGAACGTTTCGAGTATCTCCGAGTTGCTCCGAGTTCGTTCCGAATTTCGAAGTGGTCATAAAATTAACGACGTAACCACTTCACAGAGGAAGAACGGTCTTTCTGTTCAACCTATTTCACATTTTCTTTCTTCATCTGTCAACATTCAATACGAGATATTACTTCGAGTATCTAGTGCAACACAGCTTCGAGATTGAGAAGTCGAGCTTCAAGACGTCTCTGACGAGCCGGAGTCTAAACACTTATTTTAATTCAGGTTGAAATCATTTTCATTTTGCTTATATTAATAATCTATTATATTGTAATAATAAACGTTAGTTTAGTAAGAAAAAATACTTTGTAATTGGTATCCTTTTGAATTAATATTCATCTCATCAATATTACCTTTTCCTATTTCTATTAATCTTAATATGCTAAAGGATTTGCTTGCATATTTATGTTTTATATATTTTTTCCGCCTGTGATTTTGAACGATGTTGAATACAGTCCCCGTATTCCTAATAAGAAGATCTATCATTGTAAGTGTTAAGAAATAGTAGTTACGTTTCAAAAAATGAAAGTGATCCTGATATCTCTAAAAAGGATGATAAAAAAATAAACATCTTTCCTAATATGTAAGTGCCATGGAACCATTCAATTTTGTCTTTAAGACATTTGACGTGCCTTTAAAAATAAAGATATTCGAAGTGCAAACGTTAGGTAACTCACCCGCTACATTCACTTGCACAATATCTCCATCTGTCTGTATATTTACATGTATATATTTTAGGCAAACATAACGATATAAAAGACATTCTGACTATTGTCGTTTTCAAAGTTTTTCGAGGGTCATTGATGAGTTCCAAATGGCACCATATATTTCTAACTTCAGAGTATTAAATCTTAAGACGAGTTCACTGATGTGATACAGTATGATCATCATATGACTTTAAACTAAGAAATTTATAATAAAGCAATGTCTTCAAAATATACAATTAGTTTATTTTAATTAAATTAAATTTTCAAAATATTGATCTTGAAAAGTAACGCAAGCATTTAAACACTTCAATTCTTTCTATTGGAATTGACCTACAAGATCTAAGTATTCTTTCTTGCATGTTCTTTGGTGCAGCTGACTGATCACATAAAAAGAGATGTTAAATCGTGTGGACGAGCTGGCAAGCGTCCGTTACGTCGTATCCGGGGATTTAGGAATTTATTATTCAAAAATTCTCTTACGGCACGTGACGAATGAGTCGGATAGCGATCGTAATGGTACCATCTTTGACACTATTTCTGCCAAGTGGTGTCAGAAGACACCTTTCAAATTTAACTTAAGTAGATTTTCGCGTTTACTACGCCAAGAGTAAGAAAAGGCGCAATTATTATTAAAAATTCAGAACTTAATGTTGATAGTCCTGGATCGTCATTTATTATCATAATCTTATCATAATCATCGTGAATTCACATTACTCCAGTAATGCATATGTAGTAAATTAATTTCACTATGATTTGTAGAACGGGCGTAATCAGTAAATAATGCTTTAACAATCTATCATTTTTAATTTTTCGGAAATTTTACTAACAAAAATTTATGTGATTTTCAAAATATCTTTCATGAAGCGATATGTAGTACAGGCAATTTATGTAATTGCAATATTCGCACGATATTTGATTTACTAGTTCCATTTTATTGAGCGAGCTCTTTAGTGCTGACGCAAAGATTTACATTTACTGCAGCAAGAACATAAAGTGCATTTCCTTAATTCATTGTAATTCGCACTTTCGTAGATCTCTTATTTGCTGCACTTCCTGTTCTGCGAAACTTTTTAACTACATTTAAATAAGTAGATAGACGACTTCATTATAAATGGGAATATTGGAGACCGATCTTCGCTTCCTTTGAGCAACGCATCGTTAAGCGGTTATCGATAAATTAATACTCTCGCAATAATTCGATAACAATAACTGACTCGGCATACGTACCTGCAGTTTGCTGATAACCATGTTTATGAACGCTTAGAGATTACCTTTCGTTAACGGGATACACGTTCTGAGAGTTAATGACTTGAGAAATTAAATTTTCGTTAATCAAATGAACAAAATCTACTTGGTTTAGTTCAAGGTCATTTCAAGGTTATAGTATATTACATCATTAAAATTGTCTTGATATCTGCTTTCACACTATGAAGTTAAAAAAATGTTTCGCTATTTAAAAATTATCAATGATCTTTAATGACTGTAATCCAATTATCTTTCTGTAAATTACTTCACAAACGACAACAGGCAGATAACTCATTTTTTCTAATATTTTCTTCTATTTTCATACCTAATGGCACCACGTACTTACTTTTATAGTTGTTCTGTAATTCAGAGTGAAAATGTAAAAAGTCAATTGTAAGAGATGAAATGGTATGGGTTGCAATAAATTTTACATTAAGTCTCATTGAAGTTGTTTTTCTATTAGAAATGATATAATCGAAAATGTGATTTTGGCTTGTTGCGTAATTATAGCACCAATGTTATTAAATTAATTTATCTCCATCCGGTCCAACTACAAACTCACCGAAGCTAAATAATTACATTCTTTATTAAAATACAAATTAAAATTTGGCAATACTCTTTGTTGAGCAATGCCACGTGGTAGATATTTGGCCGAAGAGGAGAAGGGTAAAATTTTGACGTTTAAGGAGGATAAAATTAGTGTTCGGGAAATTGCCCGCAGGCTAGGGCGCTTACATAAAATCATTTTGATTTTCTTAACCCTTAAATGCATGAGTGGGGTCCGCAAAGGATCCCAGTGTTGCATTTTTTGTGTAAACATTTTTAGCCGCGCCATTTGTGAACTGAAAGTTCAGCTATTTGCTTCTGTCTATATTTATGTTATGTTCAATGTGTTTACAGATATAAAATGATGCTATAATCAAAGTTAGCATGGAATTAGGTAAGTGGGGTCCTCAATGGACCTCATATATGCATTCATGTTCCTAATATTTACTATCTCATTGTACACATATGTTAGCGTCAACGTATTTTGGAGGGTCGTTGGGGGTAATTAGCCTGTGCTATTTTGCCTTTGAACGATTTATGACAGGGATAGACTGCGTAAGGTCTAAGCGAAAGGTTGGAAATTTTGTTTTCTGTTATGACTTTCCGATTATATGTTTGGATTAAAATACTTGTTTTTACTTCTACAATAAAGATCCTTAGATGTCATTCCTCTGTTTTCTCAATTAAGTACATTTTAATCTGGGGTCCATTAGGGACCCCACTTATGCATTTACGGAATTTTTTGTTACCTATGCACTTAAGGGTTAAATAATTCCGTTAATTATGGCAATAATAAGAAGGGCAGTCTAAAGAAAAAATTGAGTTTCCGTACCGAGCGAGCAATTGTAAAAGCAGCCAGTAACAACCAAAACAGCTGTAATCAAATTAAAAAGGAACTCAACTTAAATATTTTACGGTGGACAGTACGTCAAGTTTTGAAAAGTAATCCCAACATGGCGAGACAGAAATTAAAATCTGCACCAAAGCTTCTACCACGGCGTAATGAAGTGAGGCTCGAGCGAATATGCATCGGGACTAGAAAAGCGTGAGTTAACCTTAGATGTCAAAATCTTTTTACACCAATTTACTTAAACTTCCATCATTGATAATAAGGTTATATTTTCGGATGAATAAATGTTTAAGCTTGATGGTCCCGACGGCTATAATTCATATTGGCGAGATCTCCGAAAAGAACCG